TTGCATGTCGAGAATATTCTGTAGCATACAAATGTCGTTGAACTGACTGCGTTCGTCAACCAATTCTTTGAGATCCGTCAGAGATTCCAGGTTGAGGGGTTAGTCGAATTGAGTTCGAGTGGTCCAGAAAAGTTGAAGGAATTTCCGAAGTCGTACTACCGTCAATGGCATGGTTATTCCAAGTGGATTGAAGGTTGAAGAAACACACTTCAGTAGTTTGTGCTGGGTGAAGTCTTTTTTGCCGATCGTTAGAAATTTTTCTTTTACCACGGTAAAAAACGTCTTTGTCGGGCTTCCACTTGACTCCTAGAATTCTTTCGAGGGGCCTTTCGTCTGATAAAAAGCCGTCGCTGTTTCCTATGTCGTTCTCGTTGACGGACCTTAAAAAAATGTTTAGAGTTGGATGGCGGTTTAACATTGTTTGAAGGTCCTTCATCAAACAAATTCGTGGGTACGGCTAGTATTGAGGCTCAACGAAGACTTGCATGAACATTGACTCGATGCCTGCTGAGATGGCAATCTGGTCTACACGAAATTTTAAGACAATTCCGGCGATGTTTGAGAGCAGGTTCGTTCTATTTAGAAGGATACTGTTGAGAGAGACGCCTTTTAAGATGCTAGAGGTATTTAGATTTCGACATACTTTTGGAGGCTTGTTGACATTCGTTACTGGGTGATAAGGCAAATGCCATTTTCCTGTCGTGTTGTCCAGGGCGTCGTCTATTTCGATGATGAAACCTTTCTAAAGATCCGTGTCGATGACTTGCTGGTATTTGCCTTCCAAGGTGGTCGATGAGTCGATGACTCTTAGACGTCAAGGGCGTCCTTGTCGTCTTCTAAGAGGATATGTTGGTCTGTTGAGATTTCGTCGCCGTCTATCTTTATTTAGTCGTCTACATGTCGAAAAAGCAAATCGTCCGATGTGAAGTTAATGGTGTTGGCGTCGTTGGGTTTAGCTGCATTATCTCTTCCGAGGGAGACCACCCTAGAAGAATTTTGCGTCTAATCGGTATATTCTCTCATGTTGAGATGGCTTCTGTTGGTGTCACTAGTTTGGCGAAGTCGCATCGCATCCTATGATGAGTCGAAATTCCTTTGAAGACAATGCTGCAATATGAATATGTTGAAAATTGTTGATTCCTTTGACAGATGGTGTTGTCAAGCTCAAGGTGAAAATCCGAGCGATTCCAGTCTTTTAGGATGTCGATTTCGTCCAGCTGAAAAGGCTGCTCTCAGTGCTTGTATGGTCCAATGGCAATGGTCAATTTGGCAGAAGCTGAGTCGGATGAAGTCAGGGCTTGGTTGAGCTGAATCCTGTCATTTAGCTTGAGATCTGGATTCAGTTGAAGGGCGATTGAAGACTTAAGCAAAGTGATTTTGCTGGCACCATCAATCATGGCGTAGGCATGCACTACATGATTGCTATATAAGATCGTTGTTGGCAATGTCGGAACGTGGCGAGTCGACTTTCATGTCTTTGGGCTGGAGTTAAAATTCGTTGCACCATCGTGTCGGTTGGCATTCCTAATTGTTATGTCATTGCTTCCTGTTGCAGAGCTTCCGTTGTAGTTGTCGTGTAGTTGGAGTGTGGTGTTTCTTGTTGCATCCATCTGTTCTACAGGACTGAGTTGATCGGGAGTTTGCAAACTTGTGGGGCTGAGGCAGTCGAAGCAGAGTTGTAGATCTCTGCCATGGTGTAGGCGGTCCACTGGGCTCATCGTTTTGAAGTGCTGGCACTTTCTGATGTTGGGGCAACTGCGTTTCTCCGAGCGAAATCCTTTCTTGGTTCCTTGTGTTCATGCTGATGTTGCTGTAGTTTGCGTTGAGCGTTCGGGTTGTTGTGATGTTCGGCGGCTGGCTGAAAGTGCTTGTTGAATGTTGATGGGCAGGACGATGAGTGAATGTTGTCTGAGGTTTTGTTGAAGTTTGCAGCGGTTCCATTCCAGTCGGCAGCCTTCCCAAAACTGTTTGAACGTTCGTTGTAGAGTGGAGATCGTGCATGAATCGATGACTTGTGAATGTGTCAACCATTTACTGCACGAAGTTGACGAGGCTCTTATGGCTTCTGTTGTGTCGAGTCGGGCTGCTGATGCCGTTGAAGGAAGGATGTTACTATCTACGTCGGGTTTCCGAAGTCGTTTTCCAGGCGTTGGAGTGCTGAGCTGTACAATAATCTTTTGCATCCATATCTGCGGGTCATCTTCTCCGAGTGGGACAAGTCCGTGTTGTCGATTGTCGCAATAAATAGTCCGATCCAATCTAACCATTGTTCCGGTTTGCCGTCGAATACAAAAGGCTTGACAATTGGAACTGATTTTCTTAAAATATTTGAAATCTTCTGCTCGTTTTTGTCGAGCTGCACTGCTCCTAGCGTATAACAAGTTTTGAAAGCAACGAAAGCTGGTAGGTTCTGATGTACTGTCTGTTGATATCCATGCTGAAGTGAGGGTTGTTGGCTGAATATCGGCTGGGTCACTTGATTAGGCTCGTGCTGGCGGCTGCTGATCATATCGTTCATGAATAGTGCTGGTGCTGGCTGCACTATTATTGGGTTGATAATCGATGCCTGCCCTGAGTAAGTCGTTCGTAATTCCCGATGTGGTCGTATCAAGGGCTGCTTTCGTTCCAAATACCGGTCGGTTGGTTTCCAGTCCATCTTTTCCTTGTTCCATACACTCTGCTGTCGAAGTTAGGGCTGTAGGTCTGGCTGCGTTATTGACCGCAATTGCAACCTACTGAAGGGGGTTGTAAGTGTCAGCTGATGTCTGTTGTGAATACTTGGAGGCTCGTTGCGGTGGGCAATGTGTTCTCTGTTCGAAGATATGGGTTTGAAAGCACTGAACTGGTCGTGAATTCTTGGCTAATGACTCTGATTGAAAGTCTTCATGAAGGGGTTGCTTGCATGGAGGTGAGTTCCATGAGGATGCTGAGGTGTACTGGCATGAAGATCATCTTTTCTTGGTGTATGTTGTCGAGCGTCGAATTGCTGTCCTGTCAATTGGAGTTGAGTTCCGATTGGGGGCATCGATAAAGGCTGAAAGACCAATACTGAGGATTTCAGAAGTCGCGTCGTTGTAGCTTCCGTCTTTCTTTTGTCAAATTGGAGGTGAAATCCGAAGGTGAGTTCGTGCTGCGTTCCCCGAGGTTGAGCTTTTGGGGTGCGCAAATGACGAGTTAAACTTTCTGGCATGACGACAATGATTTGCGGCATTGAAGCGGTTTCCTGAAATTCGCTGCTGTGGAGTTCTATTGGCGAGTTTTGGGGGAGGCGAAAAGTGATTCCTAGCATCCTGGGGGACAAGAAATGGTTCATCGTAAATTTCGGTCAATGATGAAGACTTGTCGACTGCGAATGAGGTGGGCGTTGGTGCTCCGGAAAAGTGAGGCAAAAAGGTTGCTGACGGTGAAGGTGGGTAGCGAGGAGGCTACACTTGCTGTTGTGTGGGCTGCTCGCTATGCAGTTGTTCGGCGTTAGTGTTGTTATCTTGGTTCATTGTATAGAGCAGTGTAGCGGCTTGACGGGTCGGTTCTGTGTTCAAGGCGTTGCGAATCGTAATGGTCGTGGACACATTGCTATTCAGTCGTGACGAAAGCGAGGAAGTTGAAAAGGACTGTCGAAGAAAATTATCGCATCTTTTGTATTCTATCTGCACCATTCTATAGTTATATATGTGCGACTTGAGACAAGCTAATAATATCTGTTTTGTTCATTCGCGTAACTTGAGCGTAAGAATCTTGTCATTCATGGAAGTAACTAGCGCGACTAAATCGTTAAAAAAAACAGTAATTACTTCGATGGTATCATGGCTTATACTAAGTTCGGCTATTGTAGAACATAAAGAGGCTATTTCGTTTTAATTAATTGCAATTTGATGTCGTAATTGCAATCCCAAGCGTTGTCTTCCGTATTTTGTAGAAAACTTTTAGCTTCATTCTTTTTTATGTGCAAGAGGCATGCTTCAGGCGTAATTAAAGGTTTAAAGCAGTAAAGTTTCAGTAATTTGGCGTATAAACAATTGGGAGTAACCACAAAACTCATGAAATTCAAAACAAAATCAAAAATATATATATTTTTTTTCTGAAAAAGGATACATTAACAACAGTAATAAAAAAGAATCAAAACAAGAGAAGGCTGATAAAAGGTGTATGCTCGGAAAAACTTGAGCGCCATTATATCTCGGTGTAGTGCTCTAAAGGCAACATGAGTTAATAATTAAAACACAAGAGAACTAGGAGGCGATAGTGAAGGGTTGTGGGGGACAGTAACCGTACCAGATCCTTAGTCTCTTACAGATGAGAGAGAGAGAGTGTGTGTGAGGAGAGAAAGTGAGGAGAGAGAGAGGGATATTGAGGGTTCTTATAATGGTATACATGCCTTCATGAGACCTTTGAATTAATACCCATAACATAAAAAACTACTTAGCTGAATGACTGTATCTGCTTGCTAAGGTAAATGACAATGTTTTTTTTTGAAAATTGATTCAATTGATTTAGTTGGAAATGTTGCAATGAAAATTCACTGCTTTTCTGGAAAGTTTTCTTATGTTGTGTAATGTTTTTGAAATGTTCGTCAATGTGGCGGGAACAACTGCTTTTGCAATGAGAAATTTCATTTCCTTGTTTTATTCGATTAAAAATTTCATCACAGGTTTGGAAGAGTAGTTTTCGAGAAAAGGAAAAAATCTTAAAAATGGTCAAAATTTGGACATTTTTCAAGGCCAAAACTCTGTTACTATTAAAATCTTTTGATTGAACTCTCTATCTTAAAATCTTCACGGTAGTTTTCGAGAAAACGAAAATACACCAAAAAATGGGTCAAAAATCCCCCGACTGAAAATTTCGAGGTACAACGTCTGATGAAGTAAAAAAAGACACACCAAACACTGGTATCCGATTTGAAAAAAAAATGGTAATCTCAAGCGTACAACTTTTTCCGCTGAGTTTAGCTATCACTCACAACTTAGACAAATTTGAAGATAAGATCAATTTAGCACATTTAATTGGAGTATTTTTATGATTCAACAAAAAACATTAGACCATTTGCATTAATTATTTATAACATTTACAATTTTATTGATTTGGCACTTGCGAGGAATTGAAATTGATTTCAAAAGTATTAGTAGACAGAAAAACTCATTATTTTAAGGGAAAGAGGCCGAAATGGGTCTTCGCAAGTGGGTATAACAAAGATAATTGGTCAATTACATTACTAGAATGGATGATTGCGTAAAATTGTGATTGGAAGTTGATAAATACCCGAAGCTGAAGCACCTTCATCGGCGTCGGGAATCTAGATTATGAGCACTAGGTATCTTACTATGAAGCCAAATATTTGATTAATAGCCACAGTTATTGACATTTATTTAAGAAAATACCAGATCAGAACATAAATGGCGCATGCTAATCTGCTTGAACACTAAAGCTAGGGGATATAGAGAGCTAGGAAAAATAGAATAGAAGAATAGACAAAACTCATTAATGAGAGTTATCGAGGCTAATGCAACAAAATCGTCCATGCTGATTTTAGATTTTCACTCAGAATTTGCGTTTCCAAAAATTCACCCAGACTACGAAAGTTTCAAGACATACAACCAAGTCGAATTGACACTTTTTTAATAATTTTGTCTATAAATTTTCTCCAACTTTCTATACACAAATTTAACTGAATCGTGCAATACTGCACTAGTTTGTTCGCAGCATCAAGAGGCTCCATTGAAAAATGGACAGGCAGCTACGGAAGCAGGTAGATGACGTTATAACGATTTAAAAAAAGACAGAACAAGATCTGGGTCTAATCGTTCAGATTTTCCCACATTTGGGCTATATTATCTTCCCTACTGAAAGAGGGATTTGTGACTAGGATTCCAATTCCTACTGCGTATAATGCCACTGCAAGCCCAAGGAGATTAGCTTCTACCGACCACCCTGGAAGATGTTGGTATTCTCCTGCATAAGTGAAGATCGCCTTCTCAGTTATTCCTGAGATGATGCTGGCGATGCCCATGCAAAAGATCAAAGTCCCCATGAAGCGATGTATTGGCATCATGTTGGCCTTGATGCTCTCCGGAAACTGAAAAAAAACCATCCAAAATACTAGTTAAGTTTCTGAAACAGAAAAGATCGAAAAAAAAGTGGATAGAATTTAAATTTAGATAACATCATGATAGCGTGCAACTAACCCGAACTTAGTAACATATCTGAAACACTGAACATAAATGCAACTCAAAACTAATTGGTCAATTGTCACTTATATCTTCAGAATGCTTCATTTCAGAAATCATATGGATGAAAATTCCTTAAAAACTCCTTAAAAATCGAGGTGCCATTAATTGGTTATTTCAGATATATTAATGCCCGGGTTGGTTGAAACGCCCGCATTCTATTTCATATTCTTTCCATCAGACTTAGCTTGGGCTTTTTATTCTTCAGCATTCTCATCAATTAAAAACAACGTTGCAAGTGAACGCAAGGAATCCTAAAAAATTACCGGAATATTTTCTAAAACTTCAACTTTCGAGTTTCAAAGGAAAACGTTTCTGGACCTGAAGCTCTTTGAATTTCTAAAACAATTTATGATCGACTTTTTTTGGATAAAATAAACACAATTTGAGAAAACTGGATCACAGGATAATTTTTTCATTACCCACTTTTTTTTATTTCCCCGCTGGGAAACTCAAAATTTAAAATCCACCTTCAAAGATAAAAATTGTTCACAATTTTTCGCAACATTTCCATTTTCTTCATAGGAAAGCGTTATTTGCCTTCCGTTTAGCAAATAGATTTTAATTGAATTTTAAAAGAAATGAAAAGTGAAACCACTAAAACTCAAACTTGAGCGTGAACAAATTTTAAGTTTTGTTTCAAAAAATTTTTCAAAAATCATCACGACCTACATACAGGTATTTAATAAGTTCACAAAAACGTAATAACTTCATATATGTGGCAATGCATTCGAGTACGAGGCGAGATCAACAGAAGATACATGGGTTAAGCTAGCGAACACCGCTGTTATTGCAATAGATACGACTGCTACCCACCTTAGCCCAGAAATACTTGTACATCTTGACCATGCTTCTCCGAGGGGAGAACATCTGCATTAAAAAAGTAAATTTGATATGACCTGCAGCATGTCTTGAGAATATTTCAATAAGTCGGACAAAAAGTGCAAGGAAAACGCGATTATTAAGTTAACAAGGAGGCGAAGCATAGCTTCGTAACACTTGTGATACAACGCAAACATAAAATTGTAAACTGTAAGTTACCGAACAAAATTGATAAAATTATTTTAAAAAATAATTTTGAAAAAAAATGTGAAGCAACACAATCACTGCTATTAAATAAATATTCAAAATCATTAACCCAGCGGCAACTAAACCGACAATAAAAACATAAACATAGCCAGCAGACAGTTAGAAAAGCGTCAATAAACGCAAGCAAACAGAAAAAGAAATACTGAATTGTTTTTAGAACAATCTCAAACTTTCGAATTTCCAAAAAAGAACATATTTTCAAAGCGTTTTGAATTTCTAGAACAATTTATGATTGACACTTTCTTGATGAAAGAAACCCAATTTGAGAAAACTGGATCAATAAAGAAACTTTTATTTTCGCTGGGAAATATGAAAAATAAATTCCACTTTCGAAACTAGAAGTCGCTCACCTTTTTCATGACCCTGAAAACTTTGCTGTTCATTAGTGGAAGTTACCTTCGTTTTAACAAAGGAAATGATTTGAACTTATAACGAAATCAAAAGTCAAACCGGGAATTTGAGCTTGAACAAATTTAAGACTTTTCCTGAAGCAAAAAATTCATCGCGACCTATATTAGTGTCTTAATTAATTTCATCACTTTAAGAAAAGCCATAAAAACAATTTAGCTAAAAACTGATTTAAAGTCACTTGCTTTTAGATCAAACTGTGACAATTAGAGAAAAGCGACAACTGGTAGTTTTTACGATAAAAAAATTATTTTATAGCTTATTCTATGCTCCAAGTTCTCTACTCGCTGGCTTTCCTTGCTTAAAATTAGGCTAAAAAGCAAAATTTTGAATTTTTGAAATAGCAGTTTCAATTTTCTAAAAACTTTTCCAAATTTTATTTTAAAAAAAAAACACATCCGAAGACAAAGTTCCTCCAAATTTTCAGTGGTCGGAGCAGCGAATGAAAAATCAAACGAAATCAATTGATTTCAAAACAATGCTCAGGAACCAAGCGGCCATAGTTAGCCTGTACGAGAATTTATATTGAACTAGCGCATGACTCGCACATGCGGTGCTTCAGATAGTTGAACGTGAAAATACCTTCAAAAAATATTCATAAAAACAAGCATTTGAGGCAACCGTAAATTTAATTTGGGCCAACTCATAAGGTTTTTTTTTCTTTTTTATTAATCTCCAAAATAACTGAATTTCATCAGATTTGTGATACTTTAAACTTAAAATGGTCCACATGCTTCCGTCTTTTTTTAAAAAGTTCAAAAATTCTACACAGAGGCGAAGTTGCACTTCACATACACAAGCAAAAATAAGACCTATAACGCTACAAGGAAAAACTGAATAAGAAAAACTCTCAGTCTACAAAATTTCTTATGTGACGCATGCCAATTATGCGTGCGTCTACATAATTGCTAAGTGACACAAGCCAATTATGACGCATTGGCAGTACCATTCAATTTGTAAAAAAGAAATTTACAAACTAACATGCCTCAATTTATAGAGCGGTTGCATTTCAACTAGTATACGAAGTTCATTAAAAACATCCGACATTGCCCAGTTTCGAACCCTCTTTTTTTTGCGGCTCTCCTTCTCTACATCTACGCTACAGATCTATGATACTTTCATGCTGAAGTGCTATTTGTATAATAGTCTGTGTTATTATCCTTAGCATTGGCTGTACTTAATAGCTGGTTATTGATTAAAAAGAACACTTTCAAAATGAACACTAATTTTTGGCGTTTAGCTTGGAAAAAAAAGAAAGTTCATACTATCACACAAGCTTTGCTTGTGCTAACATCAATCAGAACTTTATAGAAAAAAATCTCTATGGTTTACTGAAAATTTGAAAAAGAAAATTAAAACTGAGAAGTTCAATCAGAACCCAAATTTGAAAGCTCACAGCACCACAAAACATGGCATGGTTGAAAAGTTTTTAAAATCTGTTTTTTGAGTTCCCTTACAGCACCGTAATACAGATTTGAAAAGTTTTTAAAATCTATTTTTTAAGAAAAATTTTGAAAAAGCATCAAATACGCCATATCTCGAAGGCTCTTAAAGGTTTTGATCATTCATTTTTGGAGAAAATATTTGCAATCCCTGAGTGTACCAAGAAAGCACGCCACCATAAGGCTGAGAGTTTCAAGTTCGGTTAATTCAAGTTTACGTTGTTTAGAAAAAAATATAACAACAATAAGAAAACGACATACCTCGAAAATCAAAAAAAAACCAAACACATAATAGATGATATTTCAAATTCTGCATTAGATTTTTTTCAAATCTAAATTTTTTCATAAAAAACGAATTAATCATAAAAACGCCATATCTCGAAAACATTTGATTAGACACATTTAAAGGGCAGATTTGCACTTTTTGAGTGTACCCTGATAGCACCCCACTATAGGGTTGACATTTCAAGTTTTCAAAAAAAAATCACAAAATAACAAAAACCTTCATACTTCGAAAACTAAAATGATTTAATCAGTTATATCTATACGGCAGGAGTGCAACCCCATAGTCTACCCTGAGAGCACCCCACCATATGATTGATAATATCAAGTTCTTCTTAAATCTGAGTTTTTGAAAAAAAAATCATCCGAAGAAACCGCATCGATTTGAGCAGAAGTATTTGGAGGTCAGATTTGCAACCCCTGAATTTACACTGATAGCTCACCACCATAGAGTTGAGAATGTCAATTTTGTCAAACAAACACAGAAACGAAAAGCTTGAAAGTTTGCATTGCAAAATACGGAAAAATCTTTACAGTTAAAGCATTAACGCTTCAACAGATGTATAGTTAAAATAATAGATGACCGTGGAAATTTAAAACGCTAAACTTTACAGAATATATTAACCGTCGCAAAATGTTCTCATTTTATTATCCTTTTTGCCAATTGAACAAGTATAACCGGTTACTGTGCAAATAGCACAGAATGTTCTGACCATAGTCTTAAAAAATACAAAGTTTTCTTCAAATTAATGTCGTTTTTTTTTCGGCATGGTGTGAGGAGCTGAAAAAACTGGGGATTAGGCATAGTCGACAGCCATACTAAAATAAACAAATTGAAAACCAATTTTTGTTTAAAAAAATTTCTAGAAAACGAAAAAAAATCCAAAAAGGCGTTAAAATACTCAAAATGAACCAACGTTGCCCAACTTAAACAAAGTTTTCACGTTTTGAATTAAGCTATTGTAAGCTCTTAAGCAATATTAAGACAGCTCGCTCGCTTTATTCGCTCGAAATAAGACGAAAAATCAAAAATTTCCAACCGGTTTTTCTCGATACTGGGAAAACTTTTTCAAAATTTTTAAGGTGGTTCGAATCACGACTGTAAGGCTTTTAATATGATATATCACTTAACCCAGTCCGATCATTATTTGTGTTGCCTGATTTTGCGTGGAAAAGAAAAAGAAACTAAAACACGCCCGAAAACAAAGTTCCTACCCATTTTCAATGATCGGAACCTTAATATAAGGATAGATCGTTCACGGAACGACTAAGCTATTAATCCCAATTTTTTCGTCGCTCGACAAATTGCCTCTTTGAGCAATTAGTTGTCTAGCCTATTTAAACCGTGGTTCACACTCTAAAGTGAGGTTGATTACCTGAGGTACAAGATAAGCAGCAAATCCGAACACCAACTGTAAGAAGAACAGCACACATGTGGTCATTCCAATCCAGCTGTGGAGACTGTACATGTTGTTGGTGTTACTCTGGTTGTGGTTGTCTATTACTGCATACAGGGCCAGCATGATACACACCAGACTGGCAGTATGGATAGCACTATGTGCCACTTTGGCCACCTTCTTGTCCAACTACAGCACAGAAGAAATCATGATCAAAGAAACCTCAGTGTAACCAGTTTTTTAGTTTGTTTTTTAAGTTCTTTCTAAAATGTTTTTATTATAAGAGTAACCAGTTACTTTCCCATTACATCAAAATTTGTCATAAATTTTTTTCCATTTCTCATTTCCGGAATTATTTGAAAGACAATTTGACTATAAATCTTGAGTAGCTAGAGAATTGCAAAAGGTGATAATAATAGCTGCAATAAGGTGAAAATTCTGGCATATAATATTGAAAGGGATTTTTTTTGAAAATTTGATAGCAAAAATTTCTGAATAAGCTTCAAACATTTATCATTAAACTAATATCTGCTGAAAACACCGAAGATTCTTCTTTGAAGTGACTCCTTTGACAACCCACTCCCCCGCATAAGTTATCATACCAATGAAATTATTATGTAACGAAAATATTGATACCAATTTTCTCGACACAAGAAAGTTTTCTTAATAGAACTTCTTCGAATACTAAATCATGATGGAAAGACCACAATAGCATACAAGCTTCACGAGAAATACCCGAAATCCCTATGAAAGAAAACACCATAGACACTAGTTTTATCATAGATTTTAAAACCAAATAAAATGCTATCATTGCTATTTGCTCACTAATGTCTCAGGATCGAAATTTTTGAAAAAGCCCCTAAAATCAAATCATCGCTGGAAGGCATTTAGTATAAAACAAGACTGCTCGTACATCAGGGTAAAGCCCTGAATGTTCAGACTGCCCCTTAAAACATATCGAATAGTTTTTGGGAAGATAAAATATTGAAAAACAATAATTTTGGACAATATCAAAGATCAGGTGTAAAAATTTGAGTCGTAAGAAATTAATATGATTGATTAGCTAGCCTCATTTCAATTTGGAACAATTTTCTTGAGCGGGATAATTCGCAACGCATAAATAATTCGCGTTACGCTCAGAATAATGGATTAAATCAACGAAGTTTGACTAAATTAGTCAATTGCAAGGCCGAATTGTCAAGTTTCAAACTACCAAACTTTGCAAAATATGATTGGAGGTAAGATATCTTTGAAAACTTGATTTCAGGGAGTCGATATGGTTCAATGGTACATATTTTTTTAATGTTAAAAACTATTTCGATCGCTGAAAATTGACTGAATTAAAAAAAAACATCCCAAGCATAAATATTCTATTTTCTTCGAAGGTCGGTACAACAACCAATCTCGTGTGAGCTTTCTTTGAGAATCGATGGAATCTTAAGCTCAAATTATTCTTTATGGGTGAAAAAAGTTCCTTCTTAACCTCAAATTATTTCACTAGGCCATAACAGAACGATATAATATCACACGCAAATACAAAGCATGGCAAGCTAACCAGAAGAAAGACAAACACCACTAAAGTTATTTAAAAATCTGTCATTAAAAACTAACGCAAAGTAAAACGAACTGTCAAAAAGACGCGCCGAAAAACATTGTTGCCAAAAAATATTCAACAAGAACGTTTAGCATATTACCCCAAAGTAAGCACACACACGCATAAAAACCTACATAAGCCCATCAAGTAAAATAACAAGGGTGGCTAACCCAAAATCACAAACATCAACCAAAATGTTTTCAGCCGAAAACAAACAGTTTAATGGAAAACAAAAACAAAAAAGGAACATTTACCAACCAACAACAACTGAATTCGACATTGATAGAAGTGAAGCTGAACTTGGCAAACATGCGCGAAAACAAAAATAGCAAAAACAGCATTTTTGATAACATTAACCCACCATGGATCAATAGGTAAAATTTTTATCCCCCATTCCACTCAGTACACACAAGCACACAAAACCGACATAACATAGGCCAAAACTTATCAGACCGAGGAAATTTTTTTCAAAACTAATAAAAAGTTGTCAAAGCCCCATCCCCTTCAATACACTTACACGCACATATTTTTTTCAATCATTAAACGACAAAATATGAGGCCAATAAGCCGATATAAAATAGGCCGAAGCTTATTTAACCGAGAAGAAAAAAATTCAATAAAAAATAAAAAAACAAATTGGTAAAAACACAACCAATTTAAAAAGCAAATTTCGAATAGGACAGATATTCAAAATGCTAACATACTCAAAATATGCATGTTGCAGTTTCCAACAGAGAGACGACTGTTGCAGTTCAGAGTGCAACGTGCTCAAAATGCATCATCCTGCGGGCAAATTTGGTTACGAGAACAACAAGTACGAGAATGAAAGTGATCGCTTAAAACACAACAAAAATTAAGCCGATAAGATTGAAATGGAAATTATTGCAAGAAAATGAAACAGAAAAAAAAACGGACCAATATACATATATAGCGAAAAATAAAGGTCCGGCCGGTGCTCCAACCGCAAATCTTTGAACCTCTAGCAGGGGCTTTGGCTTTGCAACGAGTAAGCCGCTACACAAAACAATTTTCTATTCATAATAAAGCATTGTCAATTTAGGCTTTTTCTCTTCCTCACACGACATTTGAATTTCCTTTTTTTTCAAAAACAATTTAAACATTAACATAATTCAATAAAACTTGGCATGGTGGGCAAATAAATTCTTGTGAATAGATTTATTGTTCATACTTTTGCATCGTAACATCATGCATTAATTCGTAAAAGCATGAAGCACCAATGAGAACCGAAAACTTGGAATTGTGCGGGGCGCGGGGATGAAGAAGGACCTCAATTTCTTTTAATTAGGATGGTTCAATGCCAATTTGCAACGTTGTACTGTTAATTACAAAGTAACACTTTTAAATTCAATCATGTCAGTTCAAAATGATGAAAAAACAAAGAAAACTAAGCAACTTAGTCGACTTTCGGGAACCATGCGTGTTTCAGATTTTCAAGAGAAGTTGTTATCAACGGAAAAAAAGTCTCTTCCGATTACAAGAATCTTGCTTTCACCAGTTTCTGAACAATTTTAAGATAGTAAGTATCAATCTTACATGAAGGGGGGTTGAAAAGATCTTTAATTTCTTGTTACAAAGTAGGGTCAAGGCATATTTGCAATGTTGTACTGTTAAATGCAAAAAGTGCTTTTAAATTCAACCAAGTCAATTCAAAATGATGAAAGAAATGAAAGAAAAAACAAAGTAACTTAGTCACCTTTCGGGAGCCATACATGTTTCAGATTTACATGAAAAATTGTTAACGGTAAGAAAAAAAACTTTTTTCCGATAACAAGAATCTTGCTCTCGCAGGTGTCATGAACAATTACGAGATAGTATGTACACTTACGAAGTAGAACACTCGGTACAGCACCAACGAGTTACCCATCAGGAACGCGAAAGCTGTCACCATCAGAAATGGGTGCCAGTTGAACTGCTGTGAACTCCCATCCCAGGCAAACCCTCCCAGACTGTGAACAACCCAGTTTAACACTAGAAACACAGCAACAACTCCTAGCGCTTCGGTCACCCCGAAGGTAGCGTACATCATCAGTCTCGTCTTCTGAAGCTGACGAGCCATCGGAGATGGCTCCATAACTCACAACTGAAAGTTCCAATCAACTGATATCTTGATAGGGTATTTAGAACATTCGTATGATATTTAAAAGTACATGCGTAGCTTGTGGCAAAATTCGCATTAACTAATTCTGTCTGGAAAGACGCAGCACCCCCAACCCATTGATTATTTTTGGTTTAAATTGATTGCGGAGGCCTGCGAACAGCATAGATTCCTTTCAACGAATTGAAATTTTCACCAACGTGAATTCCTCCAACGTGGGGAACCGAATTTCCCCAAATGTCACCTTAAATTTTCCTAGTGAGAACTGAATTTTCTCTACCAGGGTGAACTCAATTTCCCCCAATATGGGTAACTGAAATCGTAGAACCAATCATCCAAGCCAGTACTTTCTTTTTGCAACTTGCAATGTTGTGCTGTTAAATATAAAGAAGCATAACCATAAAGAGTTTTTAGATACAATTTTAAATTCAATCAAGTCAGTTCAATGGATAAAAAAGAAAAACTAGGCAACTTTGTCGCCTTTTGGGCGCCATATATGTTTCATTTTGCCTCTTTGTGCCTGCGAGCGTTCGATCTCCTCTTTAAAGTCCAGATGTTCGTCTCTGTACACCCCCAAAATACGCAAATATCTGGTCAAAAGAGTCATTTCTTTGAACGGGGGATAATATTTGATAAACTTCTTATCCAGCTCGTACGGTTCAAGAAGAAGACGACTGTTCATCTTCTCAATAGTCTCGTCCTTTACGGATAAAGGAGATGAGTTGTTGAAGATTTTTGCACTTAGACGAGCCATGTTTCGACGATAAGGAGTCGACATTGTTTAACATTTAGCTTATAGGTAGCTCAACTGAAAAGCATCGTAGAACATCATTATACTTGATTCGTTGAAACACACAAATAAAGGATCTTAATTGAGGCTGAACCAAATGAATTTTGAAAAGATCACAGTTTCAGCAGAATAGAAAAGTTATGTTAACTATTATACTAACAAAAATCTGAGCTGATAGAAGAGTTTTCATTTATCTCCTAAATAAATAGCTCCAAAATCAATAACATGCTCTGGTAAATTCCACCAAAACAGTGTTTTCGGTCAACACCGTTTTGCAAACAAATTTCTAAAGGTCACATCACGCAAATAGAATGTCATGAAGAACACTTCGCCTCGACTTCGTTTCAAAAGCCTGTAAAATATTCTCGATATCGCAATCCAAATCTTCCGAGGCTTCCATCATAGAGCAGAGATCGCAGATCATAAAAGCTCCAATTGTTGCGTCTTCCTGATAATAAATTTAGAAACATTAAAATGAACAAAAATAAAAAAATAAACGTTTACATTTTATCTCCAATTAGACATTTGATGCTGTCACCGAAGAAAATAGCAACTGAAGTAACGAAAAGAAATGTTCATTGGAAGCATAATGGGAGAATATTGACCCAATAATTGTTTCCTTTGCCATTTCCTTCGACTCAACAAGCATTGTTACATTGGAAATGATAGACTAACAGTCACAAGCACCAAAAAATGGTTATATACTGTTACAACGAAGTACGGCAGATGTGTAAATAGAATATTTTGCATCAATTAGTACCATTCATTTAATTTACAACTATTATTGTAATGTGAACATACATGCATAAGACACATTGCAAGCTAGCGAATAGAAAATAGCGACGGAAATAACAAAATCTATTAAAAAAATTGGGAAAAACGAAATCAATTTCAGAACAACAGTCAAAAACCACAACGACCAGTAATAAATAAGCTTCTAGTTTTTAGCTAGCGGCGCCTAAGCTCAAAAACAAGTGGGTAGACCCTCATTAAGCCGAAAACAAAAAATCAATAAGAAATTATTGTCATAAAAAAGTTTTAGAAAATAAGTTTGAAAACTTTGAAATCTTTCAACACCAGCTAGCAACGCTTTTCAATGAGAAACCAATAATTTTTTTGCCTTCGAAGCGATACAAAGGAAGGCAGCTCAACCGATTAAGCATAAGCCCAAACCATTTAGGCCAAATAAAGAAAAAAAACAAGAAAAATATACGTCAGGGCTATTAATTTTCAAAATTGCATCGTAAATCAAAAACACTTGTACGATGAAAATTGCTGACAGCACAAGAAGTTCCCCCATGTGGCAACTAAGTCGACAAATCACCAGCAGACAAACTGAAGTCCGACAATTCAAATTTTCCCGAAAAAATTCAATTTTATACATACTGAAAAAAAACAAGGTCCTGGCGGGACTCGAACGCTCGACCCTAGGTTACGAAGACAACCACGTTATCTCTAGGCCAAGTGGGAAAACATAAAAAATAAAAAACATTCTCCCGGTCGGTCCACGAACTGTTTAGGTTTAGTAGGGCTATTAACACGACAAAACGGAGAAACAAATTGCAACCGATGTCAATCGTTTGGAAATAATCTTCAGCTCGGATTTAATTTCAGGATTTCTGATGGACTTACACAGATTACTTGGTACGCCGACAGCTCGTAAAAAACATAGCCAAAAAGCAGTTGCAAATAGGAAACAGAAAAAAAACTGAATAGCGTTTTGATTTTACTTCACTAGCACTATTTAAGTTTTCGAGTTTAGTTTTGCCCTCTCATTCCTATAGTCAACAAAAAAAACAAATCCGAAGAAAAAAACAGCCCACAGACAGTTGGAAAAGATTCAATGAAAGCAAGAAAACTGAAAATATGCGGACTTGTTGTTTTTTTTTGGAAAAAACTTCCAACTTTCGAATTTCTCATTTAAAAATAGATGACCTTAAAACTTTAAGTTTTTTAAACAATTTAAAAATGACATTTTTTGATGAAGCTAACCCAAATTGAGACAACTGGATCAATAGCTAAAACTTTTGCTTCATGAGAAATCTGATAATTATATTCCATTTTTTAAATTAGAAGTCGATCACGTTTTCGTGACCTTTACACACATTTGCTGTTCGATATTCGAATTTTCCTTCCTTAACAAACGCAAATGACAAAGGCGTAACAAAGGAAATGAACTGAATTTGAAAAGAAATCAAGTCAAAAGGCGAAAAAAAATGGAGTGAACAAATTTGAAGACCTTACCTGAAAAAAAATCATCGCATCCTATAACAGTGCTGATTTAATTATCCAGATGAAACCAAAAAATTGTAACTTTGAACGCGTTTTTCTCAAATTGAGATAAGATTATACAAAAACTGAAGAGAACAAAAGTTGTTTAAAACTTAACCAAAATTATCATGGTTTAATTTTTTGCGAATTCAGAACTAAAACTTTATCCCAAACATGGGTCATTTTGCCTCTTTTTTTAATAAACCAGGAGTTACTACGCTAAAACTACCAAACTAATCGCTGAAACATTTATATCAAAAGAAGCCCCTTAGAATGCCCAACAAAGTTCTAGAAATCGAAACTTCCAAACATTTGCTTAAAACTTTGAAAATTTGTTTTTAAGCAAAGATTTTGATTTTTAATATGTTCCATTCTGCAAGACTTAGCAAAAATTTTTGGTTGAGAATTTCGAAAAAAATGTGGACCATATTAACTCTGGTGAAATTCTTAGCAACTTTTGTTCTCTTCGCTTTTTGTCTAATCTTAACACATTTTGAGAAAAATTAGGAGTTTCCAATGTTGTTCACTTTGTCCGGTTAATTCAAAGCAGCACTGTATAAGAGTCTGAATCACGTTCATCGAGTCTTACAAACAAAAAAATATATATTTTGGATTCTGTCTTTAAAAACTACTGTTGTCGGAAGATTGTGCTACTTTGCTTGGCCAGGAGCCGGCATTTTTAGTTTGAGTATATGCGATTTGTTTTTAAATATTATTTACCTGATTATCACTGATATCAATATTGATAACGTGGCACGGCAGTGCCTTATACTCCGTCTGTTCTCTTCTTAGCAGTTCCAATACGACCTCGTCAAAAATTCTCTCCTCGCACGTTATGACCAAATCAAAGTGTTCGTAACATCTTTGAAACTGTTCTGGTTTAGGTTTAATTCTTCTGTTGCGGTCAAGCATGTGTAATATTCCGTTTTGTGTGTACAGATGGGGATCTCGACTGAATAAATCTTTGTACATTTCGTCGTAGGTAGTCGAGAAATCATAAATATTGGGCTTGTCTGAGCTGGGTCCCGGTAACTTTACTGTTGTTCCAATTCCAAAAGATTTGACTATGAAGCCTTTTTTGCTCAGAAAAGAATGCGCTTCCATACTTCTGTTCTGATTACTAGAGCAAACAATTGCGATATTCAGTCTCTTACTTGACGGCATGTTTTCTGTCCAAGTCTTCTGAAAAGGAGTGTTTCAATCGTTTTTTTAAGTTATAATCAAGTATTTTTAATGCTTTCAAAAAACGATCAGATATAATACGAGACCTTGAGATTTAATTCCTCTAACAGCATTTGCTAGCTATCAATTCAATTAGACTATATTTGTTCAAATATATTTTAAGCATAATTACATATTTACACAAAATTAGACAAATATATACATTTTATTCAGTTTCTTTTAAATTGACATGAAAATGATGCAGGCTTGAATTGAAATAATTAAATGTTCATAATGAAGAAGACGATATTATATTTTGTCAAAATTTCATCCATTTGTCGACTCGATTTTTTGCCGTGAACGACTGTTAGATTCCGCGTTAGCAAAGCTTGGCCGATTACTCGCCTCCGACATCATAGTAGTATCTTGCATCTGTGCTTTACTTGCTGTACTTGAAGTTAACACATTGGTAGTACTCATAACATTTTCCCTTTCTAACATTGCAGTACTTTTCCCGATTGAATTCTGACTCATCGTGTTTTTCATGGACAGAAATGACTCATCCTGGATAGTGTTTAGCATTTTGTGTGTGACAGGCCAGTCATCTGGGTTGTACACCTGCAGTTCCAATTCCTCTTGGGTGGGGGGAGTTGGCGCTCGGATAGGAATTTGGGTGCCTACAATTTGCAGCATCTTCAGTTCCAGCGGACCCAGCTTCAAATAGTCCTGAATTAAGAGTAAAAGGTTACCCAAACTACAACAGCATCTCAAAATCAATTCACACTCCCGTTACCTGAAATCCTCTTCGAAAAATGTCTCGCCAAGTAAATAACTAAGCAAACTAATGATGCAAAAATACACGCTCAGTGTAGAACTTCTGAAAGTAAATTTAGATAATATTACTTAAGGGGTCCGATTATCAAGTAGCGTCCTTTACAGAAAGACCAAAACTACTCTTTCAGAAAATCTTATCAATCAGAAAAAAATCAGGTCTGTGATGAGGGGTGCGGATCAAAATATTGAAAAGAAAAAAACAGTGAGCGTACATCTTTGGAATCGTCTTCAAGATTTAAGTGGTTATCAACCAAGTTGTTCGCCAGACCTTCTCCTGCGTTTAAGCCCAGATCCTCATCTATGTCACTTCCTAGAATAAAAATTATTCTATTCAAATTAACTATTTGGCAGCTAAAAGACACGTATAAAGATATTTACCTTTTAGTGCGTAATGTGGCATTCCGAAACATAGCCAACAGAGACAAGTTGGGAAAGAAACAATTAACGCAAAGAAGAAAAAAAGATTGACTTTTCTTTGAAAAAATCTCTTTGAACTTCAAACTACAAAAAATACATGGCCTTAAACTCTTTGGGTGATTTGTTACAATAGGACGAAATTGTGAGAACTAGAGTAACGCATGTGTTGAATTTGCGAACTATCGCGCATAATAAGGTCATTTCAGCTTCAATTCATTGTTTGATGCTACTAAGATAGTTTTTGTAAATACATAACTGTGCCAGATGAAATGTTATTCAAAATTCAAATTTTACACTTCTTTTTTCAAAAGACTTGGCAAATAAATTGAAAATACTGTTTGAAGTATAAAAAAGAGTTATTTAACTTGAATCTGCCACCTATTGAAAAAATATATCATAGCTCCTTGAATTGTATGAGCAATATATTATTCGCAGTTTTTAGATAAAATTAATCCAACTTGAAAAAACTGGATTATTAGGAAAGTTTTTATTCCGCTGCAAAATCTTGATACTAAATTCCACTTTCGAATCTAGAAATCGATCACATTTTTTGCGCCATTTCAGCTTTCCTTATTGGAGAGTGCATTTTGTCTAAGCATGAATGCACTTTTTTGTTATTAGAAAATTTTAAGACTTAAAAAAACAATCACGACCTATATAAGAGGCTGAACTACGTTCATCGACTCTTAAAAAGGCTTTAGACGCCTATATGTGGCCTCTAGACGAAAATAAATCAATCCTTCAAGCAGTTTGACAGGCTATTTATTTTGATAAACTTTTAGGCTCAATCAGACTGATCAACCATTTGAAATAACGACTCACTTGTGTCATCTAAATCAATGCCTTCATCATCATCTTCAATGTACATCTCCAGGTCATCGTCATCTTCCTCCCCAATTACTCCAAAAACTCTCTCCTCTATCGCTTTCAAAGTGGCACTCTTCTGTCGTCCATTGTACTGGTGGGTGGGCCTGCCTCCCACTCCTCTTCCAGCCCCAACAGCACCCGATGAGCTAACTGTGTCTGGTAAAGAGTGGGATGGCGCCATTGACGAGTAGCCGGAAGTGCGGTCATCTTCAACGGAGCCGTCGCCTAATAAAGTGACAACCCATCAAATAAGTTATTACGAAAATGTCACACTTTAATATTTTCAATATATCCAGATATGCCTTACACCATAGAAGCAATATTGCAAACTTTTCATTTAGCACATTGAAAAATTCCATTCAAAAAATATCTTAAAAAGCGGCAAGGCAAGAATCAAATCATTCTGAATGCCAAGCAACGCCATATCGAGACTATCGCTACAGAAAAAGTATTGTTTGGAAATGTCCCACACTTTTTAACAAGGAACATACATCGAACATACAAAAGAAGGGTCATACAAAAGACCAAACGTCAACACAGGCGCAGCTGCGCTTCGCAAACACTTGCAAGAACGCGACGAAAAAGCAGCTCTATCAAGTGAAGTAAGAAAAAGTCGAAATAAGCCTCGAATTATCAAAAACTGGGCTACGAGTCGGATCCGACTCTACTACCTAGCAAATTTGGGTCTCACGCACTAACTACGGATGCTTAAAATCCCGAAAAACTAGCCACCAATAACGCAGCTAACTATGCTAATAAATTGCCAATTCGATGCAGCAAAAGTAGCGTCAAATAGAAAAAGACCCAATTTAGCACGTGATAAATTGGAAAGCATGAAGCCAAATTATGCATCCAAAAAAAATTGAGTTCAAAAATTTCTGAAATCGAGCTTTATATCATTGTACTGCTATTTCAAACAAATAACTTTTTTCGGTTCATTTGATCAATTTATAATGCATCAGCTGTGTTAACTTTTTACTAATCAAATGTCAAAGCACATATGATATTATACTGCTACCGCAGCCAACTCATTAAAACGTGCCACCAAAAGAAGCACTTTTATTTGCGACTTAGAATGAAAAAAAAAAGAAATACACTTCGTACTAATACAATTGCTTCACAAGTGTAAAAATGAACTTTAAAACACGTAACCATGGGTTCCGATAAGATTATAAACTTTTGACGTGCAATTTCGGTGAACATTAGTTTCGGTGGAGTTACATCTGGGAAAGAAGTCTAGTACCCGGTTGCAACACCCTTGATTAGAGCAAGGGTAATAACAAACAAAAAATGAAAACTTTTATTCAAAAAATTCTTCATTTCTGCACAATTATTTTTGGAATTTTTACTATACAAGCAAAAAAAAAACTTAGCACAATTTAACATAGACTATTTCGCGTCAAAGAACAAAAGTCTATAAAATTTCTTATGTGACTCACGCCAATTATGAGTCAATAATTGCTAAATGACGCAAGCTGATTATGACGCAGTAACAGTTAATTTGAAAAAAAAACCAACTAACACGCCTCAAATTCTAGAGCGGACGCATTTTAACTAGTATACGAAAAAGTTCATTAAAAATATCCCAGGTTCGAACCTCTTATTTTGTTGCGGGTCTCCTTCCCTACATCTACGCTACAGATCCATGATATCTTGAAGCTTAAAGTGCTATTTGTAATAGAATAGTCTGTGTTAATAACCTTAGCATTGGCTGTTTTTTAATAGCTGGTTATTGATCAAACTGAACACTTTAAAAATGAACACTATGTGCGACTTAGGTTGGAAAAAAGAGATTTCATATCGCACACAAGCTTTGCTAGTGTAAAAACATTTAATTGTCAAGGGAACGCTAAAAGAACCTTCAAAAACCTCGTTTCCAGTCTAGTAAACTTCACATAAGTTTTTCTCGACACTAGGACAACTTTTTTAAAAAATTAAATGTTGGAATCGTGACTGAAAGAACTATTTTGACATATCACTCGACTCATTGCAATGATTGTGTTACCTGAATTTGAGTAAAAAACCAAAAAAAAAAGTTAACCCACGTGAAGACGAAGTTCCTCCCCATTTTCTATGGTCGGAACAAGAACTTAAAGTTTAAAATGTATCAAATTGAAACAATAAACATAGCAAACTAAGCCGACAAAAAAATGAGACGAAAAACATTATACGAAAAATGAAAGACCAAAACACACTCGATTTCCTACACATTTTAGAAGAAAGCCTAGTTGCCGATTAGTAACGAATTTAAAAAACGAGCTTGTATTTTAGCACAGGAATTTGCTTATGTCAGCAACCTTATTGATAATAATAACAGATTTAAATCACCTTTTTCAACCAACATGGTTTCCCTTTGCACCTGGGGTTTATTTGTTAATGCAAGTGATCCATAAGATATTTCAGAATGACCCATAACTTGTGACTCGGGCGGAAGTTTCTGATTGGCCAATTGAGGCGCGAATGGACTTGGTCGGAGCAGCGGGTGATGTGTGATCAAATCTCTCTCAATTATTCCCATTTTTTCTTCAATCGCATTGTTTGCAAATACTGTATCGGTGTCGAACTGGGTCAAAAAGAATTTCCTGAAACGAGAAAGTTTGGACTTATATATTGTAAGCAAAGTTCAAATTCAACTCCAATCATTATCAAACCATAAATTCTACGCTACACACTTTGTAGTTCTAGAAATGAAACAAATTAAAGAAGTCAGAAGTCTAATACATGCTAAGTTTGAATTAAACTAAATTCTCAAAGTTCTTGAGATATTTGAAATACTTAGACACGTGTAACTTGCTAGATTACAGAGACTCACAGACATCTTCAAAACTTGGCAACACATATCAGCAGTTTAAAAGACAAGTTCTTCATTTGCTTTAAACAAATATAAAATCATTTGACACTGAAATGTTTACTGACTTCGAAACATCTATTATTAAACAATTTGACATGCAGTTCAAGCGTAGACTTCGATATCGATTTAAGCGCTAAATCAACATATTATGAACCAACCAAAAACACATGCTAAACTCAATTCACGCTCTCCTCACGCAAACATACGGATCATGACTTGGCCCAGGTTGGATTCGATCCGCTGATATCGGCCCCGGAGTCCACTCACGATACAGCGAAAATGGGAATGCGATTTTCCCTCTTTCGTCAACACCATGTAGCAATAGGCTATGTTTTTTACAGTCTATTTTAGTCGGTTTGATCCTGCGATGATACAAAAAAGCGATTCAGTGCTTCAACGGAAGAGACAAAGATACAACTAACCATTTAGAAATAACCAAAATAAACAGAAAATAATTAAGATCAATTAGAATGAGAAATCTATTATGTAACTCAGTTTCAACAGATCTATCAATTCGCCTACATTTTTTCAATGGAGCTGAAGGGACGAGACGTTATCCAATCCAAATTGCTACATCAAAAAAGAACACATTAACTGAAACTGACCAGTTACAAAATTATCCAGCAATTCAAAATTATTTTCCACAAATAAGTCCCAAAACTATTCTCAAAATAGACTGCTTAAAACTTGTCTTCAAAGTTGTAGTGTTATCCTAGCATTGTCTAGGTGTTTATGACTGATTTGAAATATAATCGTAAAAAATGTCCATCGCTTCGAGCTGTGTATTGGTACCTGGATATGTTAAGGTCCTCCAACCGACAGTCGAACAGCTTCGCCATGAGTGCGAGGTTGCCCTGTTCCAGTGAATTTACTTCCTCTTCCAGTCTCTCAACCTAAAAACAACCCTCCGTTTACATTTTCAATTTCACCAATTCTGGAGCCACAACAAAAAATTATGGCTCAGGGCTAGGATTTACAAAAGATTTCAGGCACCTTTGATAAAAACCATAAAAAAGCTCCAAAATCATGGTCTTCAGGAACATACTGAACACTGAAGAATATGCTCTCACATTCGCATTATAACAGTGTAATTTCAAAAGTAGTACCTCCTGTTTGTATCGGACTGCTTCCTGTTTGAGCCATGAATGGTCCGTGATTTCCCTTCGCTCTTTCTTGTCCATCTTGGCCATGGCCTTACTCGCAGCTCCATCTTTCACATTTTCTACTGTCTTGTCCGTGTAAGAGCCCACTGCTCGCTTATTCTTCGCAAGATCTTCCTGGTGGAACTCTATGACAAACCATTGTTTCGAGAGTTGGCATTTAAAAAAGAGTAACAATGGATCTCATGGCAAACCATTTTGATTTAGTAGTAGAAGTAGTAGTAAGAGATTTCAATTTTCCCCTTGGGTAATTACTAAAAATCAGCAAAAATACAATCCAAATTGATATATTATTATGTACAAAAGAATATCGGCATTTCAAAGACCACGTAAAAGAAGCGTACAAGTTAAATTTTGATGAGCATAAGCTGTTAAAAAATATCCGAATCTGCCTGTTTGACAATTCTGATGAAAAGAACATTGTGACCCGAACCCCAACAAAATCATTGACGACATTCACTGTCCGGTAGAAAAAAAAAGACTTCGAAGTGAGAATTTCGTAATAATCGAGGTTGCAGAATATCGAAATTATTCTGCTTAGGCAAGTTTTGCCAAGTCGAATGGAAGAGGAAAGACTAAGACCTGGTTCAATTAGTTGATAGCATATTGGCAACGCATTTGATCAATTTAGCAAATAATTGTGAGGAGTGTACCTGTAGCACCATTCAAGACAAATGTAAAGGAAACGCTCAAAATTCGGAGAGTCGTATTGTCTTAGAATACGGTAAGTATATTTCAATACTGATGCCACGCATGATCGGTAGGACTAAAATTCTTTGCAGACGGAACATTTTTCGGTTAACTAGGCCCGAAGGTAAAACAAAATAACTCTACTTTTTGTAACTTGGATCTGGCATGGAAGTTACATTTAAAATTGCTAGTAAGTTCATTTTCTAAGTTTCTTGCGTTTGCGCCAAGGACGCTTCACAATAGGTAAGCAACAGGGGCCAGCTACAGCTGGGGGACCAATTGATAACATTTTCAAAAATGTACTGATGCGAAAGGTGAATCTCCAAAAACGAATATCATTTAAAATAGACGTTTACAAAACCAAAAACCCCTTTAAGCAACAAATAGGGCGCAGCCACTTTCAGGAGAAAATTCCCAGAGCGAAAAATTTCGATTGAAACCTTTATGTTATATCTGGCTGAGCCGTTTTCGAGATAATTCAAAAGTTTTTTTTAAAGACCGTCAACATTTCCAAAACATGAAATTTTTAAATTCAACATAAGCTTTCAAAAAATTGGGGCTTAATTGCTATGCAGATAAAATTCCTCGCACCTGTTTTTCCGACTGAACACTTGATTTTAAAATCGGCAGTGAATTTTTCAAAATTAAAAAAAGAGGCGTAACGCTATGAAGGGAAACTTCCTAGCGCATGTTCTTTTGATCGAAGCCTTAACCTAATAAATTGGCAGTGTTCGAGAAAAAAAATTACCAACAAACGAGTTAATTTCACAAAACTAAAACTATTTTCATAGATCATTAACGATAACTATATTCATCAAAAACACGGACGACACCACTCTAGCAGAGAAGATTCAGCAAACCTATTCCTTCAATCAGACCCTTCGCCTGAGTTAGCTGGTTAGTTTTTGAAAAAAGAAACGTTCAAAAACATGGCTAAAACTCTTCTTACAAAAATTTGGCATAGCGGTCTCTGCAATGAGGATTGCTACCACTGACTTTTGCGATTGAGCCCTCATACGAAGATTTGGCAAGGTAGATTTCGCGAAAAGGAAGAAATTTTTAAAAACAAACATTCGAAAATTCAAATATTTGAGATTTTCTAAGATTTTATCTATTTTCTACAGAAATTAGGTCGTAGAAGATTAGACACGGGCAACCCATCCCTATAACATACTTTTTTGTGCTAAAAATCTCAAAGTCTGTTGCTTGTCGAGTAAAATCAAAAGAGAAAATTAGGGTATTGAATCAGATAAGTGCGTAGCCGGTATTTGCAATGGTTCATCTTTTTGGAAATCAACACAGTAGCTCAAGAAAAGCAAAAAATTTTCCAAAGCGGCTCAAAAAATCATCCAAAAATTTTCATAATACCTGTTATTTGGCATACAGTTACTTACCACCAATAAACCAGATACAAAAATATAACAAGAATAGCCCGTTAGTGCAAGTAGCAAAGGATGTTCCGACCAGTTTTTCAAAAAGCTACCAACTTTTTTTCAAATTAATGTAACTTTTTCTGCGTGGTGTGATCGCGTAAAACTATATCTAACGTATATTCGACAGTCATAGTTTTTGGCAAACTGGAGAAAAGTTTTTGTAGAAAAATCACTAGAAAAACAAAAAATTAACAAACTTTACTGCTTAAAACTGAGTTTTCAGGGCTTAAATTGCGCATAAATAAGCTGTTGTAAGCCTGTTCGCTCGCTTTATTCACTCTAAATTGGAAAAAAAAAAATTTTAAACTCGTTTTTTCACGACTGAAACGGCTTCAATTTGGTATTTCATTCGACCCTTTCCGATTTTTTGTGGTACCTGGTTTTGTGTGAAAACAAAAAACGAGAAAAAACCAAAACAGATTTGAATACAAAGTTCCTCCACATTTTTCAAACAGTCGGAACAATGATATGCAGCAAAAGTAAGCCAGCTATAAAATTGCAAATCTTTAGTTTCAAGAACTAACTGGATTGCTCTTCAAATGTAGCCTGATTGTCGCGGATTTCGTCCTCCAAAATCGCAATCCGATGTTCGTCTTCGTACTGACCATAGTCTTTGTAGTCGTTCCATTTATCAAATACTGTCATTTCTTCCGCGATTTCTGCCTCCAACTCTTCGATATGCTTCTTGACAGCTAGAACACACTTTTCCTTTTGTGATCCATATACTTAAAAACATTTTAACTGAAAAATTCCTGAATACTGAAGACGCGGCTTAAAAAGTTGATATTCTTATCATCCAAGTCTAGCGTATATCCGTTTACCTTCATATCTAAGCAATCAGTTTTTTGTAGAAACAAAAAGTAGTGTAGTAAAACGGCCACACCTTCATTATATTCCATCAGTAGAATGCCCAATTCATGATTACCAAGACTAGCCCGTTGCTGTGCAATAACACATAATATTCCAATCACAATTACCATTAATAATCAGTAGGAAAAGAAAAGTAAACGAAACTTTTTTTTCAAAAAAAAAGACGAGGAATGAAAATAGCTGATATCAAGCATATCAAAAAACCACATCAAGGTTTCACGTTGAAAAACTTTCACCGTTGAAATGAGGAGACAGCTCTTTCACCACATCATTTTTTATGCCCACAATTTCCGACAACTTTTTCTCGACACAAACAAAACTTTTTTTGATTTTTTCAGGAACCAAAATTACGATCAAGATAATAGGGTACTAGTTTACTTGTTTAGTCCATTGTCAAAACTAGTTCATTTGTCGATTCCTTGTTCTCTATTATAAAAAAGCTAAAACAGGATTCGAACCAGAGCTAATCATAGCTAATCACATTCATTTGTGAATATTTTCAGATGAAGGGATTTTGAGATGAAGGCACGGCGAAAATAAACCAGCGACACATTTGATTAGCCAATCATTACATTGCTTGCTACTTATGAGGCCAGCAGCAAGTGGTACGGAAATTAAATTGACATACCCGCGACTTCTTGGCTCTCGTTTTGATCAGTTAACCACAAATCATGCAGTGCTTCTTCTATGGCAGCTCGACCAGCAATTGCATCTCGTTTATCTCCTTCTTCTTCGCCCCTGACCTCTCTTACGACCGAGTTCAGATGTCCCAATTGCTCTTCTCTCAACTTCATATTCTAATTCATTCAAACTCTTAACTCTTATTCAAGCTTTCAATTGAATTAACAACGTTGAATTATGCCTTAACAAATCAAGCTTCGGTTTCCTCGCAGAAGGATAATTTATAAGCATCTAGTTTATCAAAAAATACTTACCATATCAGTCACACTATACTCAAGATTAACTTACTCGCTCTTTTCCTTTCTCGATTTTCTTTTGCAAACTCTCAGCTTCATAATTTAAATCTTCTAATGCCTGCTCCTTCACATTTATTCTAAGCAAACCCACAGTTCAATTTCTCAAATAAAATTATTGGTTATCAATAATTCTGATTTACACATAAATAGGGTACAAGAACATTTAAGTGCAACTACTGATGGTAAATTAAAGTAGACATACTGATATGCGAGAATAGACTCTCTCATTGACATCTGTTCGTCATCTCCTTTTTTTCCTTTTTTACCTTTACCGCTCTTAGCTTTACCACTCTTCTTTTTTCCCATAACACCTGCAATAAAAATTGTCAACTTTATGCACATGCGTAGGTTGATCACTAATAAAATTTTGTGAAAGCACCGAGAAAAAAATTATCTTGTTTATTACAAACATTACTGTTCTGACTACACCCCCTTAGAGAAATAATTTTCGAGGGTGGTCCATCCGTCATGCGAAAGTCCGTGCACACGTTGATTGCGGTCACACTAACTTTACACACAGAGGCGAAGCTGAGCTTCGCATCACTAATCAAAGCGATAAAAATCATGGGTCCCCTTATCCCATACGGAAAAAAAACTTGTCGAAATCGTAGTCTGAAAAATCGAAAAATAATCTTATTGCAAAAATTATAGAAGTCAATTACATGAAACAAAAGTTTTGTTCCATCAATTTCATTTTGATTCTCCCTGGCAATACAAAATCTCCCAGGCAATACAGATTGCGAACGCCGCTTGCGTACTCGGCACAAAAAACAACAAAACAACTTTCCACGAACGTTTTTTGTAACATTCGCCCGGAAGATACATATCGACGGAAAACAAAACTAAGTCTTAAGACGACTGGCTAGCGTCTAAACAGAGCTTTGCATGCTTTTCACCGTCTCTACCAAGCCAGTACTTTTCGGTGGTCTTTTCCAACATCGGGTCGACAAAAACGTTACTGTTCTCCGGCTTCGACCAGAACGCTCAAATTAACTTAATTACATGCAAATAGTGAGCTCATGGCTGGGTCTCAGTATCACCAGACCACGAGGTCACTCCTAAAAACAGTGCTACTACTTATTATATTACTATTGTTTTTGTTCAGTAGATAAAAATCATCATCTCCATCGAAGATGGGTCAACCCTTTCCCCCAACTCCTAGCTTCTCATCCTTATCAAAATGAATCTAGATATCAATTAAATTCAAGTCAGGACATGACAGGAAGCTAAAGGTTTATGCAACAGGATAAAAGTTTCAGTTCCTTTACCCTTCCGGATTGATGAATCCGCTGGATCAAGCTCGCTAATCCTGATTTCCTCTTAATCCGGAAGGCCGTCCTTCACCCTTCACCGTTGCTCGCAACGGCCTTGCAACTATCGTGGCAGCACAATAGTTGCAACTCGGAGTGTTCTTCTGTTATTCTGAAACTCGTTGTCGTTTTCCGATCTCAATTTCGTTGTTGTTGCTAGCGCAGCTAATGTTGTTCTCTTTTCTCTCTTGTTTTAGCCAAAATGGCCGTTTCTGACGTTTCTCAGAAATATGACGTCATAATTCGAAGTTTTGAAATTTTAAAACACTAGAATATTCTAGCCCTCACCGTTTGGCCAATCGTTCAAATAACGTTCTTATTTCTTAATAACCACCAATCTGGAAGGCTTACTGCTAAAAATTCGAAGTCTGCATAAATTGCATTTTAGCCATTCTGGTCGAATGTCACATTTATTTGTAATACAATAAATAATAGCGTGTATTTATTGATTGCGATCACACTTTGAAAAACTTATCGAAATCGTAGTCTAAAAAAAACTTCCTGATATGTTTATATATTTTTTAGAACATATTTATTTTAATTGAAAAGGACTTAAACACTTGTTATCTTCTTTTATCATTATCACTTCTATATCTAGAAAATTCCAAGGATTTTGACTGGAATACGTAATGAAGGGACTCCCGACTGTAACCTCGGTTACTACGATACTTTTGACCTTCTGATTACATCACAGTAATGGTATTTTCATTTTTTTTTTGAATTTTGAAAAACCATAAAATTCTGTGAAGTTCTTTGAAATACTTTAAATTGACATCAAAAACGCCATATCTGGGAAACTAAAAGAAATTGCGCAGTCACAATGGAATACTAAATTTACAAATCCTGAGAGTACTCTCACATTACCCAACAACAGCGTTGGGAATTTCAAATTTTGAGAAACTTCACACTTTTTGATAGCAAAAATCATTAAAAAGCCATTTCTCAAAAACACAAAGATTTGAGCAGTCGTATTTGGAGCCAAAATTCGCAACTCTTTAGAGTACTCTGACAGCCCCCAACTACAGGGTTAGGAATTTTAGATTTAAGTTTTCTGTAAAAATGAAAAAAAACCCCAAAAAACGTCTGTCTCGAAAATTACAAGGATTTGTGCAGTCAGATTTGGAGGTCAAATTATCAAATCCTCGAAGTGCAAAAGAAGAGCCTCAATTAGAGAGAAAAATTTCAATTTTTTTAAAATTATTTATAACTGATTCCTTTGACCAATTTAGAAAAACGACATAACAATCATCACATCTCGAAAACCAGGGGTCATTTGAGCCGTCGCATTTCAACGCAAGATTTGCAACTTGCGGCTCGTGAGAGCCTTTTCGCAGCACGAAACTACAAAGTTCAGAATTTCAAAATCTTTAACTCTTTTCTGAAGTTTTCTGAAAAATTTAGGAGAAATCATACAACAAGTCATATCTCAAAAACTACAAGAATTTGAGCAGTCATATTTGGAGGCAAGATTTGCAACCATTTGGAGGCAAGATTTGCAACTTTACACACAGAGGCGAAGCTGAGCTTCGCATCACTAATAAAAGCGATAAAAATCATGGGTCCCCTTATCCCATACGGAGAAAAAACTTGTCGAAATCGTAGTCTGAAAATCGAAAAAAATCTTATTGCAAAAGTTATAGAAGTCAATTACATGAAACAAAAGTTTTGTTCAATCAATTTCATTTTGATTCTCCCTGGCAAAACAAAATCTCCCAGGCAATAAAGATTGCGAAGGCCGCTTGCGTACTCGGCACAATAAATAACAAAACAACTTTCCACGAACGTTTTTATTTGTAATACAATAAATACTACCGTGTAACGCACCTCCAGTTCTTCGAGTTTTCAACAAAATATTAAAAACCGCAGACATTGTAAATAAGATCTGCATCCTTTGAGTGTACTCTGACAGTACTCAATCACAGGAACAATAAATCGTCACAAGAAAATAACAAAACAACTTTCCACGAACGTTTTTATTTGTAATACAATAAATACTAGCGTGTATTTATTGATTGCGATCCTACCATGAAAAACTTGTCGAAATCGTAGTCTAAAAAAAACTTCCTGATATGTTTATATATTTTTAGCACATATTTATTTTAATTGAAAAGGACTTGAACACTTGTCATCTTCTTTTATCTTTATCACTTCTATATCTAGAAAATTCCAAGGACTGAAGGGACTCCCGACTGTAACCTCGGTTACTACGATACTTTTGACCTTCTGATTACATCACAGTAATGGTATTTTCATTTTTTTTTGAATTTTGAAAAACAATAAAAATCTGTGAAGTTCTTTGAAACACTTTAAATTGACATCAAAAACGCCATATCTGGGAAACTAAAAGCAATTGCGCAGTCACAATGGAATGCAAAATTTACAAATCGTGGGAGTACTCTCACATTACCCAACAACAGCGTTGGGAATTTCAAATTTTGAGAAACTTCACACTTTTTGATAGCAAATTTCATTAAAAAGTCATTTCTCAAAAACACAAAGATTTGAGCAGTTGTATTTGGAGGCAAGATTCGCAACTCTTTAGAGTACTCTGACAGCCCCCAACTACAGGGTTAGGAATTTGAGATTTAAGTTTTCTGTAAAAATGAAAAAAAAACCCAAAAAACGTCTGTCTCGAAAATTACAAGGATTTGTGCAGTCAGATTTGGAGGTCAAATTAGCAAATCCTCGAAGTGCAAAAGAAGAGCCTCAATTAGAGATAAAAACCTCAAGTTTTGTAAAATTGTTTATAACTAATTCCTTTGACCAATTTAGAAAAACGACATAACAATCATCACATCTCAAAACCAGGGTTATTTGAGCCGTCGCATTTTAACGCAAGATTTGCAACTTGCGGCTCGTGAGAGCCTTTTCGCAGTACGAAACTACAAAGTTCAGAATTTCAAAATGTTTAATTCTTTTCTGAAATTTTCTGAAAAATTTAGGAGAAATCATACAACAAGTCATATCTCAAAAACTACAAGAATTTGAGCAGTCATATTTGGAGGCAAGATTTGCAACCATTTCGAGGCAAGATTTGCAACTTTACACACAGAGGCGAAGCTGAGCTTCGCATCGCTAATAAAAGCGATAAAAATCATGGGTCCCCTTATCCCATACGGAAAAAAAACTTGTCGAAATCGTAGTCTGAAAATCGAAAAAAATCTTATTGCAAAAATTACAGAAGTCAATTACATGAAACAAAAATTTTGTTCCATCAATTTCATTTTGATTCTCCCTGGCAATAAAAAATCTCCCAGGCAATAAAGATTGCGAGCGCCGCTTGCGTACTCGGCACAATAAATAAAAAAAACAACTTTCCACGAACGTATTTATTTGTAATACAATAAATACTAGCGTGTAACGCATCTCCGGTGCTTCGAGTTTTTAACAAAATATTAAAAACCGCAGACATTGTAAATAAGATCTGCATCTTTTTAGTGTACTCTGACAGTTCTCAATCACAGGAACAATAAATCTTCACAAGAAAATAACAAAACAACTTTCCACGAACGTTTTTATTTGTAATACAATAAATACTAACGTGTATTTATTGATTTGATTGCGACCACACTTTGAAAAACTTGTCAAAATCGTAGTCTAAAAAAAAATTCCTGATATGTTTATATATTTTTAGCACATATTTATTTTAATTGAAAAGGACTTGAACACTTGTCATCTTCTTTTATCTTTATCACTTCTATATCTAGAAAATTCCAAGGACTGAAGGGACTCCCGACTGTAACCTCGGTTACTACGATACTTTTGACCTTCTGGTTACATCACAGTATTAGAATTTTCATTTTTTTTTTTTGAATTTTGAAAAAACATAAAATTCTGTGAAGTTCTTGGAATCACTTTAAATTGACATCAAAAACGCCATATCTGGGAAAATAAAAGCAATTGCGCAGTCACAATGGAATGCAAAATTTACAGATCCTGAGAGTACTCTCACATTACCCAACAACAGCGTTGGGAATTTCAAATTTTGAGAAACTACAC